GAAGAACCCCAGCTGAGCGAACATCACCTACGGTGTTTTTCTCTGCACTGCTCAGGGACTCACCGCTCACTGGGAGTTCACCTGTCCTTCGTCAGGTAAACGCTACACACTCACCCGTCCTTCGTCAGGTAAACGCTACACACTCACCCGTCCTTCGTCAGGTAAACGCTACACACTCACCCGTCCTTCGTCAGGTAAACGCTACACACTCACCCGTCCTTCGTCAGGTAAACGCTACACACTCACCCGTCCTTCGTCAGGTAAACGCTACACACTCACCCGTCCTTCGTCAGGTAAACGCTACACACTCACCCGTCCTTCGTCAGGTAAACGCTACACACTCACCCGTCCTTCGTCAGGTAAACGCTACACACTCACCCGTCCTTCGTCAGGTAAACGCTACACACTCACCCGTCCTTCGTCAGGTAAACGCTACACACTCACCCGTCCTTCGTCAGGTAAACGCTACACACTCACCCGTCCTTCGTCAGGTAAACGCTACACACTCACCCGTCCTTCGTCAGGTAAACGCTACACACTCACCCGTCCTTCGTCAGGTAAACGCTACACACTCACCCGTCCTTCGTCAGGTAAACGCTACACACTCACCCGTCCTTCGTCAGGTAAACGCTACACACTCACCCGTCCTTCGTCAGGTAAACGCTACACACTCACCCGTCCTTCGTCAGGTAAACGCTACACACTCACCCGTCCTTCGTCAGGTAAACGCTACACACTCACCCGTCCTTCGTCAGGTAAACGCTACACACTCACCCGTCCTTCGTCAGGTAAACGCTACACACTCACCCGTCCTTCGTCAGGTAAACGCTACACACTCACCCGTCCTTCGTCAGGTAAACGCTACACACTCACCCGTCCTTCGTCAGGTAAACGCTACACACTCACCCGTCCTTCGTCAGGTAAACGCTACACACTCACCCGTCCTTCGTCAGGTAAACGCTACACACTCACCCGTCCTTCGTCAGGTAAACGCTACACACTCACCCGTCCTTCGTCAGGTAAACGCTACACACTCACCCGTCCTTCGTCAGGTAAACGTTACACTCTCACCTGTCCTTCGTCAGGGAAACTTTACACTCTCACCTGTCCTTCGTCAGGGAAACTTTACACACTCACCTGTCCTTCGTCAGGTAAACTTTACACACTCACCCGTCCTTCGTCAGGTAAACTTTACACTCTCACCTGTCCTTCGTCAGGGAAACTTTACACTCTCACCTGTCCTTCGTCAGGTAAACTTTACACACTCACCTGTCCTTCGTCAGGGAAACTTTACACTCTCACCTGTCCTTCGTCAGGTAAACGTTACACTCTCACCTGTCCTTCGTCAGGTAAACTTTACACTCTCACCTGTCCTTCGTCAGGGAAAAATGCCATATAATCCATGAAATTCTACATGAAGGAACAGACAAAACGTCTCCTGACAGTCAATTATGATAAAACCCAACAAGAGGTTCTTACAGTTTTCCCACAGGGGCGATATCACCTACTAAATGTAGAGGTGCACTTATGTTTTCCCCAGAACACAAGTGAAATTTTGCAGATCATTTTATATAATAAAAGATCTCAATCTCAACTTTATTCGCTCAGCCCATCACAACTGTCACAATAAAGCTCCATCAGCGATGCTGCCTCGTGGTCGTGGGGTTCACTTACTTCTTCCACAGCGCTGTCAGTGTTTCTGCAGTGACACTCGTTGCTGAGATGAATTCTTCTCACCGCTGTTGCAGGTCCACTGAGCTGGACTCGAACTGGTTCTGGTTCCAGCTGCGCTGTATGCAGGTGGGAGGCAATGCCAGCGCGGTGAGTGTCTCTGCTGTCTGTTCTGCCTAATGAAGAAACCAGTGAGCGCTCCACTGATGTATGTGAGGTAATGTGAGTGTGTTCCCTACAGAGTGCCTTCTTCAGTCAGCACGGCGCAGCCAACGCCAAATACAACACCAGAGCAGCGGTGCTGTACCGCGAGAGAATCCAGAGTCTGGCCACGCAGGCCACCCAACAACACGGCACAGAGGTCACACACACACACTATAACACACACACACACACACTATAACATACACACACACTATAACACACGCACACACTATCACACACACGCACACACTCACACACTCACACACTCACACACACAGGTTTGTTTTTATGGTTTATGGGGACTCTCCATAGGCGTAATGGTTTGTATACTGTACAAACCGTATTTTATATTGCCCTACACCAACCCTACCCCTAAACCTACCCCTCACAGGAGACTTTCTGCATTTTTAGATCTTCCAAAAAGCTCATTCTGAATTATTTATAAGCATTTTGAATTACGGGGACACTGAAAATGTCCTCATAAATCACCTTCATACACACTCACTATAACACACACACTATAACACGCACTATAACACACGCACTATAACACACGCACACACTATAACACACACTAACACACGCACACACTATAACACACACACACTATAACACACACACACAATCTTTATTCAAACTGAAATGTTTTTCATGGATATATGGTTGACCTGAAGAATGAAAGCTGTATCATACACTTATATATCACCGCTTATCGACTCGAGGGGTGTGACAACACACCTAGCTCACGAGATGAGACGAAATACAGATACTTGTTTGACTGGAACGAGACCATATTAATACTATTTTTAAGACCTTTTTAGTGACAAAATATTTGTCTTTTAATTGTAAAAAGCAAAACAATGCAGTTGTATTTTGAAATGTTTTAACTAATACAGGGCCGTAACTAATGATTATTTTGGTAATCAAGTAATCTACTGATGATTTTGACAAGTGACCTGATATTTTTAGTAATAAAAATAGACCTAAGTGAAAAACAGGCTTTAATATGACTATGTTCATATACTGTATATAAAATAACAATGAGGCGATAATAATCGGTTCAAATAAAGTATCAAAACCAAGTAATTGCATGGTTTTATTTAAAATGCATAAAGTAGTATGCGTATACTTAATATGAACAAACTTAAGTACTTTATGTATTATAACAAATGCCTGCAGGGGCTCTGTATTTATATCAGACGCGCTGCATTGTTAATATTGCGTGAAAAGTGTTTTTATCCTATACTGAGGCGGCCGAGGCTGAAAACACCGCGAGCTTCAGTAAATGAAACCGCATGTCTGCGCCATTAATTTCCACGAGGGGCAGACTGGGAAAAACATTTCAGGCTGGGAAATCTCACACTTATACACCCACAACACATTCTGAAACATGGACAAGCCTATGTTTTGTATGGACCTCACATAAAAAAGGTTTAAATCCTTAGGTTGGGGAGATGCAAAATAATTAAAAGTTCTCTCCTGAACTGCACCTTCACTAACGTTTTTCTTTTCAGTCTCTTTATTTGCCCTGATATCTATCTCTCACATGACTTTAATACTCAAGATCTAACAAAACTATACTTTCTAAATTGCCTACATGTCAAAATTAGTACATCTTTATAGAAAAATCCTAATACTGAACATGAATCATGTTTTTCCCTTACAAAAATTAACCATGCTTTTATTGTAGTAAAAGTACAGTAACCATGTTTTGTTTTTTTGGTTGGGTTTTTTTGGGCAAATGGATTACCATTTGTATTTATATTTTACTACAAATTGCATGGTTAAACTATGGTTAATGTAGCAAAAACCATGGTTAATTTGTGGTTACCATGCTTTGACAATAGTATTGTCTTTGGATTTATAGTAAAATCATTGTTAATTTCGGTAAGGGTTGTGTTGTCTGCCCTAGCTCCCCCTAAACCTATTATAACATATGATTATTTGTCTGCTAAATCACTACTGTAACATTACAATAGATAATAATGATGTCCTTTATACAGTATTTTTGAGTGATGACTGCTGCTTAACAACAAGCTTAACAAGTAAACAAAGACAAAACTGCAATAGCATATTTACAGATGAAACTGAGCTGCTCTTGAAACCCTGAACAGTAGTTTAGCTTCTCTGCTCCAGCTGTGCGCTTCCACAGTCCTCTCCACTCTCTCTCTCGCATTGATTACTCTGATCTGATCCAAACCGAGCCGAAGCATTGCCAGTGACGACTAACCCATTCATGATTTATTAGAGATTTCATTATCGAATGGTGAATTCAGAAACAATCGCTTTAGTACATTCGGCAGGCATTTTCATAACTGTAATTTAATTACACATTTTTTCTTAATAACTGTAACTGATTACAGTTACATTTATTTTGTAATTAAATTACGTAACGCCGTTACATGTAACTAGTTACTCCCCAACACTGGTAATGCATTACTTCTAAAAGTAGCGTTCCCCAGCACTGCATGTAACACACGATGTTGTGTCTCAGCGGCGGCCTCCGGCTCCTGCAGCTTGAGCAAGGTTCTGGACTCGTGTCCACCATACAGGTCAGTCCCTGCGCTAACTAACCCATAACTAACTTCATCTGTGTGTTCTTCCCTGCAGGATCGCTACAGCACACGAGTCCCGAAGAGCCCGCTTCCTCCGCTCGCCTCTGTGTATATTCATCATTCGCTCGGGCAGCATTCGTGGGTTTGTTTAATGCCGCAGCTTGAGTTTGGACTGAAAGGAGTCGTGGTTTGATCACTTGGGGACCAGAACTCTTGTTTATGCACTTTCCTTCAGCTGTGTCCTGCAGGTGTGCTTGTTTACGGTCATGAAGAACGAGGAGATCTTCACACGCTCGTGTGATGCTGTTCTCATTGAAGAGCTGTATATGATGTGTAAAGCAGCATTGCATATGTGATGATGATTATTCATCTCATTGCCTCCTCTATGTTTGTTCAGGGCATCTGTTTATCTGGCTTCGTCCTTCGTGAACTCGAGGGCTCAGTAAACGTGGCGGGTGATCTGTGCTAAATTGGTTTAACTCAATAAAGATCAGACTTGATGAGAGAGAGTGTCAGACACGCTCTAACTGCACCGCAGACCCGCTCTCTGCGCTTTAAAGTCTGCTCTCGGCTGTGCTCCGCAGGCTGCACGTCCAGCAGGAGGTGAAGCTCACAGCAATCACCGAGAAATACCAGCGTTTGTGCGAGAAGAGCCGCGGCGTGCTGGAGCTGGAGGAAAAACTGGCTGAACTCTCTCAAAAGGTTTGTAAACCACTCGAATCAGCCCCGTAGCGATCACGATAAAGATATCGTTCTCAATATTAAAGAACGGCAGAGTCTGCACCACAGCTATAACGATAAAGACGATATCGTTTGAATCTCTTTCAGAGCGATTTTCCCCAGCTTGATGAAGGATACAAACATTGACAGCCAATCAGAATCCATCCTGCTGTCACGAGCTGGAGAATTTAAAGCGGCAGATGCACGCGCATGCGCTGAGAATAAACACGATATTATCGTTATCGTTATTGGTGTGAACGGGGCTTATGGCTGTTTGCACGCTTACGCGCATGGTTTTATTGTAGTAAAAGTATAGTAACCATGTTTTGTTTGTTTGGCATATTGATGAGCATTTGTATGACCATAGTTTCACAACAAATGCCATGGTTACAGTGTGCTTAGTGCAGCAAAGCCGTGGTTAATTTCTGGCTACCATTGTTTAACTATAGTCACTGTGTTTTTCAGTTTTCATGTTCACAAACGTTTACATTTTCTAGAAAAAAAAACAACATTCGAAAGAATCAAAAAATGACAAGTAATGAAATTAAGTAAAAAGTGTTAAAATACATCATTTGTGCCTTGAATACAAAGCATTTTCTAACATAAGCTGAAATACATATATATTTATTACAGTCTTCAGACACTTTAAACCACTTTTCACTGTAAGCCCCACACAAATAAACCACTTTTTATTGAGAAATTGACATGTTCATCATAAGCAACGTGTATTTCGAGTCTTGTTCAGTCAACCATCCACCAATCGACGGATCAAAATCATGCCACCCTCTTTTTTTACATTTAATACGCATTTCACGCAGATACGTCACGATTCGATAGTAAAGTCATTTCTGTTCCGCTTAATAACTTCAGACCAAAAATCACTGAGCGTCATGTTTGAGTCATTCTAATGTAGTTTGAGAGAATGATTCTGAAGTCCTCGAGCAGAAACACGTCCATCTTCACTAGAAGTAGATAAAAGCAGTCGTGCTGCACAATATTTCTGTCAAAAGCCACTCAAAAACCCCCGCTATCTCACCCGATTTAAAGGCTAGTAGCAGGATTGTAAAATGAATAGATGTGATTATGATCATTTGATAAAATGAAGAGAGCTCGCCGTACGTTTCAGATCATTTTACTTTGTAGACTGTTTCCTATCCCGTCACGGAGACCGCTGAACGCGCCTCTTTAAATGGTTTCGTGCTGCTCGTTGTTGTATTTTTAAACACTATTGCAGTGTTTTCAACAGACATTATGGCATTAAAAATAAAATGATCCCAAACGTAACTGTGGCTACGCCGCTTGAAACAGCTCAGAATTACATTTTAGTCTGGGACTAGGCTTAAGCCTTGTCTGTGAAACCAGGTGATAATCTATTATTCATGAGCTCATACAGTGCATTATAAGGTGCATTACAAGGCATAATTCATGCATTAAAACTACTTTTATAACACATTATTTATAAAGTGCTACCGAGAAAGTGCTATCTTTACATTACAAAATTCTAATTATCTCAAACTTTAGAAAATCAAAATCTTAAAATAAAATGGAAAAGAATTCATGATGTTATTCACTGAACGAGATCAGCGTAGTGTGCTAATGCTTGAAGGTTGATGGTTACTGGCTGTTTTCATGCAGCAGTAGTGCGCTAGCACTGAAGTGTGAACGCAGGCAGATCAGATCAGTCTCCGCTGATGTGGTGTGTTGTGAATGCAGCTGCAGGCCTCTTCTGCGCTGAAACACGCCGTCAGCTCCACACTCAACACCTCGGCCGCGCTGCAGGCGGAGCAGCAGGCGTCGTCACTCCTCCTTCACGCACTAGAGGAGCGTGTGCGCGGCGCGACGGAGGCGCGGGGGAGAGCTGTGAGCGAGGAGCTGGAGGAGCTGAAGAGGCGCTCGCGAGCCGCACACTCGCACGTGACGGAGCAGGTGAACGCGGCCGAGGCGCTCCTGCGTGAGCTGAGCGAGCGGCTGCAGGAGGTGCAGGACGGGACGGGGAGGAACGCACGGGCGCTGGAGCGCAGCGAGGAGGAGGACGCGGGACGTGTGAGCGATCAGCTGCACTGGAGCGAGCGCAGAGTCTCACGGCTCCAGGAGCAGCTGCAGCATCTGGAGGAGCAGCGGCTCGAGCTCCGGCAGCGGCTGGACACCCGCGCTCCTCAGCACACGCACCTCCCCGCCGCAGAGGAGGCCGTGCGCTCCATGCTCAGGGTGCGTGCGCAGCTCAGCGCCACCTACAGGAGGCTGGAGGAGCTGCGGCTGCAGGTGCGGAGCGCCGAGGAGCGGCTGAGGAGGACACCACACAGCTGAACTCTGATCTGACCGAGGCCAGACACACCACACTCATGTGTCCCATCTACTGTACTTTTGACAAGCTGCATTACTTTGACAAGGCCGAATATTACTCCGTGACAAGTGCAAGTTGTAAAGACAGACTTTTACTTGAGTAAAAGTACAGAAGTACTTGCTTTTAAAAGTACGTGAGTACTACATTTCCCTTTTTATGTCAACGCAGTATTTTTTGTTATTATTTATTATTAACTTTACAACAGCAACACTGCTTTAACAAAACCGCGAGACGCCTGACCAGACGCTCAGCTGGACTACTGTATGTACAGTGGGGAGTATTACAGGCCATGCATTTTAGCCATAATGTTGATTGTTTATCATTTCTGCTTGTCCTTATTTTTCTTAACACAGCTGAAATCTGGGTTACAGCATCTAAACAGGATGTAAACAATGTACATGTTAAAAGTTTTAGTGTGGAAAAACACTTACTAAACATTTCAGAGTGAAGTTATATCCCGTTTTACCACAGGCAGTGACAACATAGTGCCCAAATGATGAGAACACCTTTACAGCTCAATAATACATATTTAATCAGAATAGTTTTTAAACACACATGATTTCACTGTGAAAACACTACCTCTACCTGTACTTGAAAATGGCTATAAAACTAAGAGCAACTTTTTTTACAATCTGTAAATGAAGAATGGGTATAGGTGGTTTAATCAACTCAACTTCACTTTTCTGCTTGTAAATCCTTCTAAAACTCTGTTTACTGGCGGAATGTAAATGTTGAGATCAGTCACAATTGGTTTTTTTTGCCTTTTTTTTTTTTAAGAGATCGGTCACTTTTTTTTTTGTGTGTGTGGTAATCAACATTGTGACAAATTGTATTAAACCTAGGGGTGTGTGATTTATATTTTGTCTACGAGAAATATCCTAATTGTTGTTTTAACGATAAACAAGTTAATTAAGAGACACCATATTGCCTGTTTTTGCTCTATTTCACCCACACACAAAAAATTACAAAGTAACGGCCACAGCACTGTTATCCATAAAATCCCAGAAAATATTGAAATATCATTTTTGTCGATATCGCACACCCCTAATTGAACCTGGAATAGTTCTTAAAGTCTCAGATTTGTTTGAATACATTTTGTACGCTACATAATTGAGTGTAAATGTATGTAAAGCATAAAATGCATCAGTGTACGTTTCACTCAGATGTCACGTATGTTTGGATATGCAGATGTCACTGAGAGTTCAACATTACATCAGAATAAACTCAACATATTTAATAAATACAAGTTTTTCTTCATTCAATAGTTTTTTTTTTTTTTGGGGTGATGTCAGTTAGGCGTGATCCACACACAAGTCTGGCTCCATTCTGCTATAATCATACACTTTTCATGATCTATTAAATACTTGATGGATAAAATCATCCATTGAATTCCTGCTTCCCTCAAACAGCCTGTTTCAGTCTGAAATACATCAGATTATCAAAGTTAAACCGATTGTGAGCTCTATTTCCTGCTGCGTAATTAAGACCTGCACTGTACGTCATGTAAACAGACTCAGAATAATCGGTCAGGATTGTCAGTTTTATTGATGAGTTCATATACCTCAGCCTGCCAGCAGGGTTCATCAGACACGTCTGTTTCAGATTCAGCCCTTCATCTTTATTTGATTATAGCAACATGACACTTCGTTCTGCAATATTTCTATGATTAAATGACTGACAGAGACCTGTCCTCTCTCAGCCAATCGTAGCTAGTAAGCTTGCCAACACCAACCCTAGCAGCGAGCTCAACCCCACCCTTTTCTCCTTAGTTAAAAGTAGTTTTGTAAACAGGTTTGAAGAGGAAACTCTTAGCTAAACAAGTTTACTGCTATTCAGGAGAACTCTTAAGTGCTAAGATTAAATGATTTGTGAATGTTGACCCCAGGACCTGATATTGGAGGAGGTGATCTCATGTCATTTTGATGAGTCTAATAACATTTCAGTTAATGATTTGTGAGCTGCTCTCACTGTATGTTATTGCATACTCCTCCTAGAATCTTTATCAGACCTGTGTGTGACTGACGCCTCTGGTGTGCTCTCTTGTGTAGTGTGCGCTGTTGTCCGCTCCGGCCGTCTCTCACACAGAGGCTCTGGAGGTGGAGGTGGCTCGGCTGCAGGAGCGCTTCTCCAGTCTTGCAGGTCAGAGGCAGCAGCTGCAGCTGAACCTGAGCGCTCTGGCTCGGGCCGTGGAGAGCGTGGAGCAGCAGGCCTCCAGCGAGGTGACCTCCAGACTGGCCTCCATCCGTACGGACGTGCGGCGCATGGCTGGGCTGGAGGGCGAGGTGGAGCTGCTGCTCACCCAAACGCAGGCCCTGGAGGAGAAGGTGGCCCAGACGGAGAAGCTGATGGTCAGGCGCATCGGCGATCTGCTGGCTGGCAGCATCGACCGCGTCTCCACTCTGAGGAGCTCAGCAGAGAAGAGCAGCCAGCGGCTGGATCAGATCAGTGTGCTCGTTCACCAGCTCTCGGCGGCTCACCGTGAACTGTCTGAGCGCATCCTGGCACTGGAGAGTGGACAGGCCAAGCTGCTGAAGACCGCCAGCTTCGCCAGCGACCTCAAGCCCAAGGTCTTCTCCATCAGGCAGGACTTCGCCATCATCCAGCCCAAACTGGACGACCTGACGCTGAGGATCGGCTTGCTGGCTGAAGACCTGATGAGTCGAGAGGAGACGACACGCGACACGCTCGACCAGCTGACGCCCTGAAAGAGGAGGAGGCTCAGTACATCAAGTACAGTCCAGTCGTGCTTTGCACTGGAAACTAGTGCTGGAGCACACTGACGTCTAGTCACAGAGTGTAAGCATTCAAGAGCTTCTAGTGAAATCTGCTGACTGCAGCAACACTGAAGTGAACATCACCATGAGATCTGCCATGACACTGACTGCTAGATTCATTTGTGTCCCTGGAGCACAAAAGCAGTGTTAAGTCGCTGGGGTATATTTGTAGCAATAGCCAACAATACATTGTATGGGTCAAGATTATCCATTTTTCTTAGAGGAAAAAAAATCATTAGGATATTAAGTAAAGATCATGTTCCATGAAGATAGTTTGTAAATTTCCTACTGTAAATATATCAAAACTTAATTTTTGATTAGTATATGCATTGCTAAGAACTTCATTTGAACAACTTTAAAGATGATTTTCTCAATATTTAGATTTTTTTGCACCCTCAGATTCCAGATGTTCAAATATTGTCCGATCCTAACAAACCACACATCAATGGAAAGCTATTTATTCAGCTTTCAGATGATGCACAAATCTCAATTTCACAAAACTGACACTTATGACTGGTTTTGTGCTCCAGGGTCACATTTATATTGGTGTCGACGTGGTTCTGCAAGGTATATCAAAGAATAACCATCTACAAAGCATGGTACACTATACCTGTCAAACGTTTGATGCTAAGAATTCAGCTTTGAAATCACAGGAATAAATTACATTTTAAAATGTATTCAAATAGAAATCAGTTTTTAAATAGTAATACGTTTTAAATAATAAAAATATTTAAAAAATGTACTATATTTTGGATCAAATAAATGCAGACTTGGTGAGCAGAAGAGAATTTCTTAAAAAGAAAGTTACTGTTCAAAAATGTTTGACTGGCAGTTAACCTCTTTGTAAGTGTGATGCTGACTTTAAGAGCCACATCTGACCAGGTTGAGTCTCAAGCTCAAGTCAGAACCTGTATTCAAGCGATATTGACTAATGAATTCACGTAATGAGACGTTTAAGAAGAGGACGTGGAGGGATCTGTGGAGGAGTGCTGAACAAACCCATCAAAACCAGTGTCCTCTGTGCTCAGATGATGACCTGAGCTTTAAGCAGCTGGTGTCTCGCTGATCTTTCATGATGAAGTCCGTTCACGTCCAGTGCAGTTCATTACATTCACATCTGAACATGTTCAATACGGTTTGACGAGCAGAAAGTGTCCAAGACTTACATTTAGTCATTTAGCAGATGCTTTTATCCAAAGCGACTTACAAATCAACAAAAGAGCAATGATACGCAAGTGCTATAAGAAGTCTCAGTTAGTACTACACGTAGCTAGGTTACTTCTGTCTTTATTCTGAATATATCGATGGCTTCATATTCTAAAACCTAAAAAACTTTGAACATTTAAAATGCTTTTGTGAAAAACGTGACTGCTGTTTTTCTTTGAAATAAATGTTGATATTTTTAATGTAAAGACCATTTGAATTATTTCCAAATACAGTAGTCAACATTTGAAGTGGATCAAAAAATTAATCGAAGTTGTCCTGAGACAAGAACGCATTTTGGTTTTAGGACAAATTTGATGAAAGGTTTTCAGATGCTGACTGCTATAGTTTCTGTGGCTGCTGTGTGTTTGGAGTCTGCTAACAGAAATATCAGTTTTATACGGTCGGTTACAGACAGTTACGCAGTATTACAGTAGTTCTCTATCATTTCTACTGTATGCACAAATAGTCAGTGACGAAACCGTTCACTGCCATTATATGATCGACTCTGATTTATTTACTTTGACAGTGATTCGGTGATTACCATAATCCATGTTTTCATCCAAATCACCCTCAACTGCTTCTGAGAGAATCTGCTGTGTGTGACATTTTAGAAAAACGGTGAATTAAAATCATATATTTAGATTTGAGTTGTTTCCATTGATTTGAATGCTTTTGTCATGCTTTAAATTATTTTAAGTCATTTTGAGACACTCTTGGATGTTTGCTGATGAACAAAATTATATAGAAATTGTATTTATAAATGTAATTAGAATACATAAATGTGAGAAATGCTCAAATTCTCAGTACTTCACTTTGAGGTATGAAACCGTATGTTTACTGTAGGGTTATGTGTAAATATCAAGGCAATTTAGATTTTCCATTTTATGACCGAGCTCTTTAAAATGCAGAAATGTTCCAAATTTGTCAAATGTTCTAATCGTGTTATATTAATATTCATTTGTTTTTGTGTTATTTTAGGTATTTTATTGGTCATTTGACACGATGGTTTGGAACATTGTATTGGAAAACAACTATAATCTTGATGCGTTCAGAGATTGTATTTTGGTTGTGATGATGACCAGTAACTCTACTGAGCAAGATCTGATTAATTTACACTGCTTTTCCAGGTCTTACTTGTGCAATTAAGTTTGGTCATGTATCCAGCTTTTTCAAGACCGTGTGAATCTTGGTTCTTCAGTGACAAAAGGGTGTATTAAAATCTTTCAAATCATAAAATGTCTTGATTTCAGTTGTTTTAGTTTAGTTTTAGCTGACCAATGCTTGTTTTGTCTTATTTGAAGTCATCTTGAGGTCCTCTAGTAGACCGTGGCTGATTAACCAGTTGAACAAACATAATTATATGGAAAATACATTTATATTATTAAAAGGTTACTGAAATGTGTTAAACATTCTCATTTTATGCATTTCTAGGTATCTTATAGATCATTAGATTAGATAAAGACATGCTAGTATGGAAGGGTTTTAATCATTTTATTGGAAAACCACTACAATGGTGATGAGCTCAGAGAGAGAATGACCGATAGCCCTGGAAAACCTCTGAGCAGCTATGAACTACAGTGCAGTTGTGTCTCGACGTAAGAGACAGCAGTTCACCCATTCATCGCTCTGATAGACAGCTTTCACGTTTCCACCACCCACAGCACCCATCATCCTGAACGACCGCTTCTGCCTCCAGCAGCTCATCTCAGGCTCACTAAGTAACGTTTTTAAATGCATCGACTGCTTCTTTCTCTTGACCAGCGTCCAGTTCAGATACTTGGGTCTGCAGCTCCTCCAGGCGGCTCCTCAAGCCGTCCAGTCCGTCTCTCAGCGCCTGGCTCTCTGTCTCGGCGGTCGTCTTGTAATCACCCAGCGAGCGCTGCTGGGATTCGTGCTTGGCCGTGAGAGCGTTCAGTCTGTTGGTCTGCTCCGTCAGTGAGGACTCCATGCCCTCCTGGCTCTCCTCCACACTCTTCAGCCGGCCCGCCACGTCTTCTCTGTGCTTCTCCAGCTGGAGCAGCTGGTCTCTGGAGTGCGTCTCCAGGCTCTGGAGGGCAGTGCTGGTGTGCTCCAGCCGGTCGCTGAGGCTCTGGGTCTGGTCCGAGGCGCTCTGAGCGTCGGCTCGAGCCGCGGACATCTCGTCCCTCAGGCTCCCTGCGGCGCTCTGCAGCAGCGTCCTCACGGCCTCCACGTCCTCAGACACAGACGCCACCTCCCTGTTCCTTGTCTGCTGCTCAGCGCTCACCGCTGCAATCTGCTCGCGCAGCACGGCCATGTTCCCCTCGGACACCTCGCTGGCGGTGTGGAGCGTGGCTACGGCGCTGCTGAGGGACTCCAGCTCCTGCCTGAGGAGCGCCGGAGCATCCTGCTGCTCCAGACGAGCCCTGAGCTCCTGCAGCTCGCTCTGGAACTGGCTCTGCTGGACGGAGGACTCAGCTGTGGAGTGGCTCAGCTGGGACAGGCGCTCCTCCAGGGACAAGGCGTGCTTCTCCCGCGCCTCCTTCACCTCCCGGATGGCTTGCGTCAGCTCCTGGGAGATCTTGCTCTGGAGGTTCTGGAGCGAGTCCTCCAGCCGCCGGGTGTTGTCCTCTCCTTTCTGCGCGGCTCGGCCGGTGCGCTCCAGATCAGTCCTGACGCCGAGCACTGCGCTCTCCAGAGCCTCCAGAGACGCCTGCATAGACCTGATCTGGAAACACAGATGGACAGAGACACTTAGGCTGTGTTCACACTGCAAGCCTTAGTGCTCAATTCAGAGATCCGATTTTTTTATATAGCTGTTCACATTTTGTTGTTTTACATGTGGCCAATATCAGATTTCCAGTGTGAACAGATCATGGTTCTGAACTGACCCGTATGCGCAAAAGACGACGCGAACAGGGTTGCCAGGTTTTCACAACAAAATCTGCCCAATTGCTGTCCAAAACTAGCCCAATCATGTTCCGGGGGTAAATATTGTGTTAGAGGAGTCGCTTCAATCCACAAAGTTGAAAAACAACCCACGGCAACAGTAGCTCAGTTCTGCGGGGAAACTGATGGATTTGGCAACCCTTGTCAACGCTGTCATATAGAAGTAAACAGGGAGGACATAAATTAATCGATTATGTGTTTATTTATAGTGTGATCTGCTGCAGAAGCAAATATGTACAGCGTGGAATAAAGACGAATGTCAATCTAGAGTGACGTAAAAGTCGCATGATTTCCGAATAGGGTTGCAAAGCGGTGGAAAATCTCCGGAAACTTTCCAAAAATCCCTGGAATATTCCAAAAGAAATCCTGGAAAGTCTCCACCTCTTTGCAACCCTAATTCCGATATGACCATTCAGACTGCGGTCGCATTGCAAAACATTGCAAAAAGCACATGGAATCTGATCTTTTCCATTTAGATTTGTGCTACTTCCACGTGTGGTGCTAAATCCGATACAGGTCCGATGTTTCGCAATGCGACCGCAGTGTGAACTCTCATGTCCGAATTAATGCGACTTTTACGTCACTCTAGATCGACATTCGTCATAATTCCGCGCTGACGGGAGACACTTCAAAGATTTTACACACCCAAAGTTATCAAGACAGTTGCGGAAGGTAATCAGTGGAACTGTGATGTGTCAGAACTCATAAGAATTAGTGACAACTCTATATACAAGCAAAACATGAAGACTCCGATCATGCTCTCTTTCATCACATCCTTGTCTTTATTTTTCATATTGCCTGCGTAGAATTTCTCTGGCTTCTGCGGCAAAACACACTATAAATAAACACATAATTGCTTACTTTATGTCCTCCGTGTTCAGTCTAGTATGACAGTGCGCTCCGCAAGTGTTGTCAAGTCCGCAGTTTTCCCTCGGAATCAAGCAACATCTTCACTGTTGCCACTTCGTGACCACACTAACACAATATTTACCCCCCCAGAACATGATTGGGCTAGTTTTGGACTAGTTTCGAGAAGCAATTGGGTGGATTTTGTTGTGAAAACCTGGCAACCCTGTTCATATCGTTCTTTTGCCCATGCGGGGTCAAGTTAAGAACCATGATCTGTTCACACTTTTGACAGCAAACCTAAAGATACTTAATCTTAAGGCATAGTCATTCATGTCATTCAACCCGACCAATCAGGTTGTGAACATATTTTGTGACGGAACTTACCCCAAACAATAGGTGTGTTCGACTTAAAGTGTTGCTGCGCAGACCAGAGTATTTGGTCCGTGTTGCGTCCATATTTAATTCGAACCACACCGGAGTTGGTTTGCAGGCGGACTGAGACCCATGTTAAGTGGTCTCGGTCCGCTTGTTTGGTGCGCACCATGGTTCGGATGCCACTTACGCAAACGAACCGCACTAACAGAGCAATCGCACCAGGGTTTGTTTTAATCGAACCAAACATGCCAAGTGTGAACGCACCCTTAGGTCTTCAGAAGATCACCTCAGAAAGGTGTGTTTCTTCCTGTTTTGAAGCATGTTTTGCATAATAAGGGAGCGTTGAGCTCCTAGTCAAATATATGGTAGGTCATTATTCAGTGACATTCTGAAGATCTCCAGGAAATAAAGACTAAGATGGGCTTTATATCAGAGCGAGTTTTTGTAATTTAATAGAAAAATGCATTATTAATGTGTGCATTTGAAAGACTACTCGCAGTCATTAACCTTCACTAACGTGTCCATGTCTAAGGGTTAAATTTAGGCCTGTTCCTCACACGAAGACTTGGAAGATAGAGATAGTCATATGTACTTCTTTCATGGTGCTTTGATGCTGTTATTTTTGGACAGATTTCACCTGGATTGCATGGAAAAGAGCAGCACAAACATTCTTCTAAACATCTCCTTCAGTACTGCACTCACAAGAGATGCGGGTTTGGAATGAGCTGAAGTTGAATAAAAAATGACAGAATTTAGTAAAAACAAACTTCATTCCTTTGTTTCGTTTGCTCTGTGAAAACCAAGTGTATAAAGTGTACTTATTACACAAATATATACTTAGTGTGAATTTAATGTAATGTTTTCAAAAACGTAATTGTATATAATTTGTAATTAATTTCAAATGTATTATAATTCAAACGTATATTAAAAATGCATTTAATGCATTACATTTTTTAAATTATATTTCAAATGCATTTCATTAAAGTGTATTTTAAATAAACACACTATACTGTATTATAATAAGTAGTCTGATAATAAAGAAACATTTTTAATTGATTTTAAATGCATATTAATTTGTTTTAATGATTTTTAATGGGCCTTCATTTAGAATTGATTTTAAAACATTAATTCTGTGTTCAATTTAAATTGCCAGTGTACTTTATAACACTATAAAGAGGCTTTTTGGCCTAATTTACTATTATATACAGTATATATATATATATACATAAATTGGATCTGAAGTGCACAATAGTAAAAAACAAACAAACATGCAATTTAAAGCATATTATTCAACATCTGCTTTAATCTTCATCTTTAAACATTTGATCATTTTTTATTCTATTGCTTGCATTTAGTTAAATTGCCATATAATAACTTTACGGTGTGTTGCATTTCAGACGCATTAAAAACAGGAATTTTTACAGTCAAAAAAATTATAATTGTTTATCATGTACTGACCAACACCAAATCTAACTGTTGTTCCTTTACTTTAGTTACCTTACTGTGTAAGCAAGTGTAATGAAGTTCAGAAGGAAAGTGCATTAATGCACACAGTATAGATATATGCTGTGCTTCAGTATATACATCACGAACGTGTCTTAAGCAGCCTTTAATCTGAGTAATATTATATGATCTGCAAGCACACGGGTTAAAAGTGTACTTTAGAGATTTGAAGCACACTGCAAGTGCACATTCAAGACATGAAGCACACGTCTCTTGCCTTCGGGTTGGACAGAAGCACTTTCTTCACGAGAGTGTGTGTTTCAGAGACCTGAAGCGCTGGGTTACAGGAGCACAACAGAGATGACCTGCAGGCCTCGTGCCGTGAGAGAAACCAAACCAGTCGCTCAGGTCTGATCTGTCAGGACTCTCGGCTCAGAGCGAGCAGATTCTCGTGTGATTCTGAGACGCTTGCCTTGTCCACATATACCCACACCTGCGCTCTCGGCCACCTATGTCTATTCCAGGCTCAGAGTATCCCATCATGCTTTGGAATAAATTATGAGTATTCATATTGAATTGTGTCATGTTATAGAGACTACCAAGCAGACATTTAGAAGGGATTTTAAAATTAAAATAAAGCTATGCAAACACTTGCATCGTTTCATGCTCACATGGGCCAAATACTGGAAATAGGTCGTATAAGTTGGTGAAAAGACTGCCAAGTGTGGGTGTTTGGACAAGAGGTCTCCTGAAGGAGGAACCGTCAGCCAATCACAGAGCACCACATCGTCCTGGGTCAGTGCTGGAGAACTTACTGTGAAGATGAAGCTCTTCAGTCACAACCACAGACAGTGTTCAGAGCTCTCATGCGCATGCGCTCTCACTCACACTGACCTGTTGCTGCGCGTCTGCGCTCTTCTGCACGCACTGCTCGTGTCTGGAGCTGCTGTGCTTGATCTCGGACAGCTCCTGATAGAAGCACACGGACACGATCACGGTCCCAGCCACGAAGCCCATGTAGCTCAGCGCGGACAGCAGCTTCAGCAGCGAGCCCGACGCGTTGCTCTGCGCTCTCTGCGCGCTCTGCGGGCTGCTGGCGGGCGGCTTCTCGCTGCTGTTCGGCTGCGAGCTGTTCTTGTTTCTGTTCTTCGCTGCCATCGTTCCCTGCGTTGCGATGCTTACTGCTCAGCGAGCGGCGCGTTGCGTTCGCGTTGTGTCCGCGGGACAGACTCCTCTGATTGCTGTATTCACAGGAACTTCTAGAAGAACGACTTCAGTTCCTCACAAACTCGCACGCTGGCAGTTCAGAGTCCCTAAACGAACGAAAGTGTCTTTTGCTGAAGTTTGAACGCGTGTCGGAGTCGATACAGCGCAGAGCTGACGCGGAGGCAGGCTCGAGCGTGAAGATGAAGGGCGTCGCGTCGCGTCGCGTCGCGTCCTCGCTCGCTCCGCCCTTCTTCAGACGTGGCACTGATTCTCCTCAAACATCCATCCCAGAGTTCAGTCTGACACCGTGAGCACACGTTTACATGCACACCAGAAACCCGACAACTCAGCAATATCAGCTCATTATAATAACCAGTTCCCCCTGTTTACATGCACCTGACAACACAAGCCAGCTGCGTTTTTCAGGTTGTTCATCAGGTTATTTCCCTGTACTGACGTCAAGTATACTCATCTGCATATCTGACTCCGAGCGTTCCGTACGTGTGTCAGTGTGATGTTAACTTAAGCTTGCAACATGTCATATATTATCCTCTCGTGCAGTTATAAACGCAGCAGTGTGACTGAAGAGCCCGGCCTCATGGAAGTGCGTGTAAATAGTACGCCAAATAAAAACGAAAACTCGTGGTATTGATAGGCAAAAATGGACTTTGGCGTGCATATGCTACGCAGTTTTCGCGTGCACACAGTGTTGCCAAACCTCCCTCAGAAAATCTCTAGAACCACCCTCAAAAGTCTCCATTTTTCACAAAAAGTCGCCAAATATGAAAACAAAGTAAATACAGGTACATTTGGTAAAGGTAAAGGAAAATAAATATATTTATATACTTTACAAATGATAACAGTATAAAAAATATAACAAAAAATTCTGAAGTGAAATGAGGAAATGCTTGTGATCTGCAAGCACATCACACATGATGGACATGATGGAAAGACACAATGTTGGGAATTTGTTTTATGTGTCACCAAAGTGCATCCCTGTCCTGCTCAAATACGACAGATAAGAGATATTATGATTCTCCAAACACAAAAACTTTATTCATACAGACTTATTTCAGTCAACACACTGCGCAGACTCATTGGCATGATTGTGCGCAAACGTGAGCCTACAGCGGGGTGTGGCCAAGCAAAAAATGAAAAATCTCCAAAGAATCGCTCGTTTTATTTAAATATAGCTAAAATAGCTCCTTGTCGCAAAAAATAAAAAAAGTCGCAGCTACAGTGAGAAAGTAGCTAAATTTGGCGTCAAAATCCCCAAATTGGCACCACTGTGTGCATATGATACGCATCTACCCCACAACCCTAAACCTACCCATCGCGTAGCATATACACGCCAAAGTCTATTTTAGCGTATCAATACCACAAGTTTTGGTTTTTATTTGGCGTACTGTTTATACGCACTTTCATGAGATCGGGTTGGACTGAAGCACTTCTGCTGCACGAGATGAGAACACATTTTTATCATTTTCTGAGTCATGAAAATGTCTCCTTTTGTGATATATTTCCTTCTTTCTTTACTGCAAGATGTTTGCTCGGTCTAGATGCGCTTAAATCTGCACTAAGGATGCGTTCCTGTCACGTATCACACATGCACACTTCAGAAAGCGGCTTATTGCGTTTACATGCCACGCCACATCGGAGTAAGAGGCAAAAACTACCTGTGTCGACCGGTTTATGCTTACGCTGTTTATGACCTTACTCCGATAAAAGTAAACGGGTTACCGCGTTTACATGACCAAGTGCGTTTTCGGCTTATTAAGCATAATCGGCTTAAGAACGTGCTTGTAAACCGCTAAGTGTTAGTCTACTGTTTTAGGACCAACAATTCATCGTCATCATTATATAAGATTTGTTATTAACATAAACTCTACTGTTCAAAAGGTTAGGGTCATTAAAATAGTATATTTTATATAGTATATATATAGATGCTTTAAATGGATGATGATAAAGACATTTATAATGTTACAAAAGATTCTATTTCAGATAAATGCTGCTCTTCTGAACTTTCTATTCATCAAAGAAACCTGAAAATTCTAATCAGCTGTTTTCATAATATAATAATAATAATAATTATTATTATAAATGTTTATGAGCAGCAAATCAGAATATTAGAATGATTTCTGAAGGATCGTGTGACTGGAGTAATGATGCTAAAAATTCAGCTTTGATCACAGGAATAAATTACAGTTTAAAATATATTCAAATAGAAAACAGTTATTTTAAATAGTTTTAAATAATTTCACAATGTTACTGTTTTTGCTGTACTTTGGATCAAATAAATGCAGGCTCGGTGAGCAGAAGAGACTTCTTTAAAAAACATTACAAATCTTACTGTTCAAAAACTGTTGACTGGTAGTGCATATAATTACAATGTAGGGCTGAAACGATTAGTCGACATTATTGACAACATCGACAATGAAAAATGGTCTATAAATATTTTTGTTGTGGAATAATCATTTTGATCTCAAGTGACAGCATGTGAGGGCCTGCAATAACACGGTCTGGCCAGTGGGGGCTCTAGTGTAAAACCGCACCGCAGCCCTCTCTGATGCAATCTGATAGAAAAAGACACAGCGCCTATGACAGTATGTCGGAGAGCAAACGAAGCCGATACAGTAAAGTTTGGGGAAGTTTTACAAATTTCTCTCAAATAGCAAGGCACTGATCATGCGATCGATATGATAAAAATCGTGGGTCATGGCACTTGGTGCAAGATTTTTTGACACGTTATCAGAAGCAGTTTGTTCAATCTGATGAACAATTATGCTTGATGACTTTCTAAAAATCCTGCCGTGTGTTTAGGGCTTCAGGAACCTCCAAGCCGGGTCTATTAAAGATTATTTATGCAGCATCCAATTAAAAAAAACATACTGATTAAAGATTTATTTACATAATCTATTAGCAAATACCGAAGGAATTGGTTTATAATCAATTGTTAGAAAGGAGATCGGCCTCCAATTTTCTAAAAGATGTGGGTCTTTATCAGGTTTGTATGTAATGTAGAGTTATATAGATTACTATAAAAGGAAAAAACTGAATCAGAATTGTTTTCAGGGAGGCTGTGGTGGAATAGCAGGCGCGCACGGTCGATGGCGGAAGAGTTGGAGTACAAAGAGTACAAACAGAGTTGGAGATAAAAGTAAAAGTAGGGGCTGAAAAGGGATCATTTTTGGTGTTCCTCTTAATATAGGTATGGAAGAGTTTAAAGGTAACTTAAAGGGAGGGAAGATGCGCAAAGGATAAAATCAGGTGCATATGGAAACAGAAGAGACACGGAAACAGCACGGTCGATGGCGGAAGAGTTGGGAGTACAAAGAGTACAAACAGAGTTGGAGATAAAAGTAAAAGTAGGGGCTGAAAAGGGATCATTTTTGGTGTTCCTCTTAATATAGGTATGGAAGAGTTTAAAGGTAACTTAAAGGGAGGGAAGATGCGCAAAGGATAAAATCAGGTGCATATGGAAACAGAAGAGACACGGAAACAATAGTAATAGAATTTCAAGAGGATGAAATTCCAAAAAGAGTAATGATGGGTGTTATGAGCTACGTTGTAAGAGAATATATACCGGGACCAGTGAGATGTTTTAATTGCCAAAGGTTTGGGCATGTTGCTGCAAGATGTAGGGAACAGTGTAGATGTGCTCGTTGTGGAGGAAACCATGAATATGGCAAGTGTGAGGAAGGTGTACAACCAAAGTGTTGCAACTGTGGAGACGCACATAGTGCAGCATTCAGAGGATGTGAAGTATTGAAAATAGAAATGGAGATTCAGAAAAGGAGGGTGGAGAAGAAGCTAACATATGCAGACGCAGCAAAACAGGTTAAAGGACAAACTAAAGAGCAAAGAGGTCAGTCAGGGGTTTCAGTTGAAAGAAACAATGAATTTAACTTTTCCGGCCTCTTATTGCTACCTGTCCCAACTTTTTTGGAATGTGTAGCTCTCATGAAATCCAAAATGAGCCAATATTTGGCATGACATTTCAAAATGTCTCACTTTAAACATTTGATATGTTATCTATATTCTATTGTGAATAAAATATTAGTTTATGAGATTTGTAAATGATTCCATTCCTTTTTTATTCACAATTTGTACAGTGTCCCAACTTTTTTGGAATTGGGTTTGTAGTTGGATGTAATAAACAAGAACAAGCAAATAAAACTCTCAAACTTAAGGAGATAGGAGGGATTAAAGTTGTCAGCACAAACAGAGTTGGTGATAAAAGTAAAAGTAGGGGCCGAAAAGGGATCATTTTTGGTGTTCCTCTTAATATAGGTATGGACGAGTTTAAAGGTAACTTAAAGGGAGGGAAGATGCGCAAAGGATAAAATCAGGTGCATATGGAAACAGAAGAGACACGGAAACAGTAGTAATAGAATTTCAAGAGGATGAAATTCCAAAAAGAGTAATGATGGGAGTGATGAGCTACATTGTAAGAGAATATATACCGGGACCAGTGAGATGTTTTAATTGCCAAAGGTTTGGGCATGTTGCTGCAAGATGTAGGGAACAGTGTAGATGTGCTTGTTGTGGAGGAAACCATGAATATGGCAAGTGTGAGGAAGGTGTACAACCAAAGTGTTGCAACTGTGGAGACGCACATAGTGCAGCATTCAGAGGATGTGAAGTATTGAAAATAGAAATGGAGATTCAGAAAAGGAGGGTGGAGAAGAAGCTAACATATGCAGACGCAGCAAAACAGGTTAAAGGACAAACTAAAGAGCAAAGAGGTCAGTCAGGGGTTTCAGTTGAAAGAAACAATGACGTTCCGGAAGAATTTATGATGATCGAAAAGAAAAAATTAGTGACATTTATTGCAGGAGTTATAAATAGTACAGCTGGGGTTGAATCAAAAACACAGAAGACTCAGTTAGTTGTTATAGCAGCAATACGTCATCTTGGAATGATAGGCTTGACCTGGGAAGAAGTCAGAGATGAACTTCAGATAAGATCAAGTCAAGAAACATGTGGATAATACATATAGATGATTTCAATAATCCAGTGGAATGCAAGATCTCTGATAGCAAACGGTTAGGAGTTCAAGCATTTTATTGAAGATTTAAGTATTAAACCGGATGTAATATGTGTTCAAGAAACTTGGATGAAACGTTGTTTCGATTTTGTTATACAAGGGTATAGTATAGTACGGCATGATAGAGAAGAAGGGATTGGTGGTGGGTGTGCAACATTTATTAAACAAGAAATCTCATCTAGAATACTCTGAAAAGGAAGGGATCAAGAATATATTGCTGTGGGGATATGGGGTAGCGGGCAGGAGATAGTTTTCATAAATTATTATAACCCATGTAAAAAATTGGAATTAGAGA